CGCCTGGGTACACAAAGCCCCTGACGCCCAAAGGGATCCCAAAGGGCGCACAGGAGAGGCCAACCCAGGAAATCCCCCACCAAGATAGGAGGAGAGTCGGCCCCGAGGAAAACCCCAAGCCACCGCAATGCCGGAGCCCCCTGGAGCCGCAGGAATGAGTCTGCAGGCTCCGCCAGCAGCCAGCCACCCCGAAGTGGATCCGGCCATGGGTCCCAGGGACCAGAGGCCCCAGGGGCACCCTCCCCCCAGACAGGAGCCTTGGCCAGGCCCCAGCAGGCCAGGCCCCGCCTGGTGCTTCCACCCCCAAACACCGAGCACCACCAGTGCACCGGCGAGCCCAGGTGCCAAATGTTATTGGGAAAGGGAGCAGTTCAGACCCCAACCTGACAAAAAAATAAAAAAATACACAGTGTCAATCATGCCTTCCCACACTAGTGCCCCCACTCACAACACACAGTCTCTGTGAAGAACAACAACAACAAAAAAATGCGGACGCACATTCACACATAATAATAATCCTGATGGTGGGGAGGGGAGCGGTGTCACCATCACACTAACCCATCTAGTTCCTGCTTCTGGCCCAGACCCCCACCCCACACCCGGACCAGACAACCCCCAGCAATACCCCCTCAATAGACTATTTGCCCCTCCCTCCGCCCCCGTTTGGGGAGAGCAGAAACTCTTTAAAGCTTTCATCGGATTTAATTCCTCTGCTTACCTGTGCTATTCTATCAGAATATGTTTGAACACAAGGCAGGTGTATAAACAGGGCCGTAATTACCATTGAGGAAATCAAGGTCATGTCCTCTGTATATTTTATTTTTTATTTTGCTTAAATTGTGATATATAAACTAAAAATAAATTACACTGAAACTGAGTGTAGGACAATGACATAGGTCTCCTACAAAACTGTGAGATATTTTATGTTTGAAAAGCCAAGTCTACTGCGACTATTTAACAAAAAAAGTAGCTCAAGGGTTTGGGCATATGTGCTGCACATCATCCTCAACACATGATTTTGCTATAGTAACTGCCACACGCAGGCTACAGATGCTGTTAGTGAGTCCGTCAGTCATGGCAGTCCCTAGAATAGGAGCATCAAGCTACAAATGCAGATGTAGTAGAGCAGTTTAAGTTGTAGATGAAGGTGAGAAAAACAAGCATTTTCATTAGAAAAAATTTCAGCCCAGCAAGCTATTCAGACAGAAAGGGGACATCTAACCAAAGTTGATTTTACTCTGTCTGTAATGGCGGTCAGTCAACTTCCAGCAGCTGAATCAACATTCATTATGCTATTGATATGTAAGCAACATCTTGAACTGAAAATAAAATTTTTATTTAGCATTAATTTCTCAATGTTAAATGCTGAACTGTTTTATATTTCTGCCGGATGCTGAAGCTCAATGCAGCACGACGGCACAGAGCAGATCCACGGGACAGGAAGTTGTGCGCAGAAACAAAAAAGCCTCAAAATGCCATATTTTTTATCTACAATTGCTGTAATGTTGTAGATGATTGCTTAAATGTGCATATTTTATGTTGTTTAATATTTATAAATCAATTCATTTATAGCATTTAGTACTTCATACTTGGACATTGGGCTCCTCTGGAACCCACAAAACTAATTTCATTTTATGCCAACCCTTAGTAATGTGGAGCTGTTGAGGTCTTTGTTAGACTGCAATACCCTTATGACTCTGAAAATGGCCAGATTTAAATAATGGAATTAAAAACTTTAAAAACAGGACCACGCCACTGAACCCACCTAGAAGTGACTGACTCCTGACCTCAGTATTCTTTGGGCACTGCGTATAGCCCTGGGTATTAATATATAAAAATATTGCATTACATGAAGAGAGGCAAAATTAATTATAAAATGCAAATATTTAGACACTTATTCATTGAAATGAACGCACAACCTTGTGTATGTAAGATTATTATTTTGTTTAATCAGTTTATCTATTATTTTTGTCATCATTAAGAAAAAAAGAAAAAAAAGTGTTGTTTAAATAGATAAGATCCTGGAACACATGCAATCATGTTATGTAATTGACCACTTGTATAGATAAGTAGGGTGAGTCTGAGTTGTTACTTGGCTACTGTTTAGGCTCACAAAGGCATCACTGCTGGCATTGTCAGTTATGGCTGAGAGCACAAAGAATGTCCATAATTACAACAGCAACAACAAAAAATTAATTTGTGTCCTCAGTTGTAATGAAAGTGTCAGCTGCTAGATTTCTGATTCATAGATCATACATCTGCAGGAGACAGAAACAAAGACAGTTGGCATTGCAACAAAATTAAACGACCACGCCAGGTTATCTACTATAGTGTGAAGCTCTGATTTCTTTCAACTTTTCTTTATAATAGAGCAAAAGTATGTGATTCTCGCATGTTTTTTGCAAGTACTTGTTGATAATTTACTTTTCTTTTTTATGTCAAAATGAAATCCATTTACTTGGACTAAGAAAACCGAATGCTGAAATAGTTGTTGATCTACTGAAAATAAAAATCTTAAACAAACGAAATCTCAATGAATATGTCAACAAGCTTAAGATGTATTTGTATTCATGAATCAAGAATAATTTCAATCAAAAAGAAGCCATCAACTGTCTGTTTTTGGTGACTGCCACCCTTCACCACCATAGCCCAAGAAACAAATAGCGCTATGCTTTCATCACTGCATAACATTCCCCTGACGGGATCCAAAAGGTGGATGCAGAATAAAATCTCACCAGTGGGTCAGCTTAGTGGACAACTGATCATATAATATCAAAATCACACCAAAATATTTAAAAGATTTCACAGGGTACAATATTTCATTCAGAGACTTTATTTTGACTGGCTTCAGTGAAAAACAATAAAATATGCAAATGAGTTTTGAACTTTTTACTATTTTTCTCCAAAAAGTCAAGTTTCATCCTTATCAAACAGCTAGGGCTGAAACAATAAATTAGATTAATTATGATTAATCAATTATTGTTATAATTGTCAACTAATTTAGTAATTGATTAATCTCTAGCCGGAATATAGAGACTGTAAAGCATGCCTTTAGCTGTCAGAGCAACCCATTTAAAGTATTAATTATACCAAGATTGTAAAACTATATATAAACATTTTACATTTAAGATCAAAAAACGTTTTCATCTATCAATATGCTCTATCCAGAACTCCTCAAGTGGAGAAGTTTTAGTTTCACCTGGTTTAATTTCATAAAAAAATCTTTTTTCAAGGAACCTTTTGCTATCCAATGGTCAATTAATAAAAAAATAATCAACTGATTAATCGATTTGCAAAATAATCGTTAGTTGCAGCCCTACAAACAACATAAGTTATTAAAACTAAAAGTATGAAGCTTTCATTACTAGCTACAATTAGTGATAGAGAAATGCCTCAGCAAAGAATGGAAAGTGAAAACTATCACATGTACATCTTGAGAAGAGCTTTTTAATATTGGCCTATATATAAGGAATTTCACTTTCAGAGAGGCAGGGAATGGCCCATTTTCTGCATTGAACAGTATCAGCTAAGAAAAACAACAACAGAGAATCTTGATTTTTTTAAGGAGCCCTATCCCCAACAGTAACACCTGGAGTCATGTGTGTGTACAATTGCAGCACTCTGGCAGCTCTCCAGCTCGTCTAGATGAGTTGTTGATTTGAGCTGCAAACTGAAGTCTGTAAACTATAAAGCTGTGATCCACCTATCACCATTTGGACCAACCCAACAACACAATGTACCTCAACCTTTGATCGATGGAAAACTGACTGCGTGACTGTACCATAAATATTACATAAAAGATTGCAATCACAGCGTTCGCTCAAAAGGAAAGTGCTTGAGCACAAAACTGTTCTAAAAGAGTGGGGAACTCAAAAATGCCATAAAAATACAGGACTTCGGAATCAGTTGCAGACATTTAAAGATTACCACATTTGTTAAAAGAGAATTCAAATCAAAGCCTTCTATACTGACATTTTTCATACAAAGACTGGTCATTTCCTATCACCTTGACAATTAAAAAGTTGACAAATAGTGTGTTTCCCATGCAAAGCACCTCCAAAGAACACATAAACATGTAGAGTCAAATAAATTTTAGGAAATAAACATAAAAAAATATCCACAATTAACAAAACATTAACATAATTCCAGCCAATGACTGTTCAACTCACTGGATTCAACGTCTCTATCCAGCCTCCTGCTCCAACAGGCAAGCAGCATGTGACAGCTTATTCCGTGCATGCACTCACAGCTCTCCTTATCAATAGATCACTGATCGATTTAAAAGTGTAACTACAACCCCGCCTGATTCTGCAGGGGTCAAATGTTTAAAAAACTGGCATTAGATGGTGAGGCAGAGGGGTGGATTTTACAACAGAATTTAAATAAAACTTGGCAACCACTAATTTGCGGTGTTATTGGAGTTTATCAATTAAATCCTTCTGGATGATGTCTTATGAGTACAGGTTTTACATTTATACTTCAGACCCGATGGAACATAAAGGATAAACAAAATACAAGAATTGCTTTCATCTTTTTTTATTTTTTCCCACGCATTTGGGTAATTCCAACTCTAATTTTAATTTTTCTGCAAGTGACAGGTGGAGAAAACTGAAAAAATGATCTAGAAGTAAGTAAAAATTTCTTGAATCAAGTGTATTTACTCTTAATTTTAGTAGGTAAATAGGATAATTTGCCAATGGAGTATTTTTACTCTTAAAGTAAGATAATTAGATAATATGCACTTGTAATAAGACAATACAGTTGTTTTTTTTTCTTATTTTAAATGTAAATTAAATAAATTGTCTCACCTCAATTCAAGAACAAATGCCCTTAGTTAAAGAAAAAATTAACTTATTTAGATTTCCATATTTGCAGTGCAGATTCTTCATTCAGTGTGTGAATGACAGTTTATCAGTAGAGTTAACCCTTAAAAGCAAAACATAAACAAACTGGGAGCGGGCAGAGAGAAGGACCCTGGTAATGAAGTGGAGTTCACTCACCATTTCTCTGTGGAGGCGCCGACTCCTGAAAGCGTGTCACGACACTAAATACCCATGAGAAAAAATATCACAGCTCTTTAGTCCAGCGACAAAAAAGAAACAAAATAAAAGAGAGATAAATATTTTTGAGATGCAACTAATGCTCGGGAGTAGCTAAGCTGAGTGAAAGGAGCGCAGCGCAGCGCAGCGGTGACCAGTGGCGGAATTTGGACACGCGTCCGTGCGCAAAAAGCCGGCGAGCCGAAGAGCGCGCCGCCGGGGACTAAGAGGACAAGAACACTGTAAAAAGCAGAGCGCAGAAAATAAAACCTTGCAGTTTTTTAAAGGTGGCGGGAGTTGTGTCCAGACTGTGCGCAGCAGAGGAGTTGGCGCTGTTCCGCTTGTGAACTCACAGCAGACACACTGCTCCGGTCAAATCCCTCCTCCTTTCTTTACCCTCGGAGTAACGGAAGCACTAACTCGCCCTCGCTGTCTCCGTCACCAACACTCTACATTTAACTAACACGATCCATTTGGCCGAGGCTGTCCCCACTGACGCACGACTGACTGGGGGTGACCTGCTGTGCACGTGTAGGGGACAAACTTTCGCCTTTACATAAACACATTCTTTGACAGATCAAGAAATTCCTGTTTCTTATTATCATTATTGTTATTATTGGAAACGAGGGGCAGCTTTTAGAAGTTCCCAGGTGATCCCAGGGCTGCTTATTTACACAGAAATGACAGACGCAATTACTTATTGAAGAAGTAATAATCCAATTTTTATCAAATAATTTGATTTAAAAAAAATGTGCTCCTTAATCAATTGGAGTATTAACTAAACTTGACTCGGTATTTTTTTTTAAAGGCTTATAGTAAATAAAATTATCTGCTTAAAAAAATTACACCAATATTAAAATAGTTTTAAAACAGAAATTGTATAGTGTCAAGAAAAAGTTTGAAAATATCTTATTAAATCTATGGTGAAACCAATCAAAAGTTTTAAAACAAATATTTCCTGTCTTTAATTGAAAATTTTCAGCGTCATGTTTGCAGTCTGTAATGAAAGTAGGTAGTGAGTAAGCAGTTAGATTAAAAATAGGAATCATGAAATTAATTTATTAACTAAAATATATTATTACATTTCCACTCACCAAAGAAAGTATAGCCATTTTTGGTAGCAGATATAAGAGTACAAGTGACATTTGTTAAAGCAGGGATTTGCAGCCTATGGCTTCAGGGCTACGAATGGTTTAGTCCCTTAACACTTTGGCTAAAAATGATGAGGAGCTAGCTAAAAATGTCTCTGATTATGAAAGAAATATATTTTTTGATCTTTCATAACAAGTGCAATGTTTTTTTTTAACATGATTTTCCAGCAACATCAACAAACAATTTGTCTTTTTGCAAGCTCTTTCCTTCATTTCCAAGACCTAAAGTTTGAAATGGCTTTGTAGTTACCGTATTTAAAAAGGACTTAATTCCTGTGATGATTACATATAAGTTATCTTTTCTCTTTGTAAAAAAGGTAAAGTGATGTCTGTGAACGAGTTTTGTTAGTTGGACATTTTTTATTCATTCACAAACTGACTCTTAATTGTATAAAAAAAACATTTTTTATCTTGAATAAGTTAGATATACATTTTATAAGTTATAGGTTAAGTTATAAGTTTTTTATATATAAACAAAAGAGTCTGAAAATGTTTACTGCTCGAAACAAGCTTATTTTTATTTTTTTAACAATGTCCTGTTGGGCAATGTGGCAATAATTCTTATTGTCTTGATATAAGACATACAATAAAGTAACATCTTCATACTATCGCTGAAATATAGGTAGTATTATATAATCTGACATGTATACTGTGGTAGCTGAAGATCAGAATATGGGCTTTCTGTTTGGAAGTGAATCGCTAAGTACCTGGAGACAAGTACCTGTAGTTGTTTGTGAGAGTGCACTTGTGCATGTAAAGTTTATCCAAAGGAAAAATGCTCAATAGTGGTTGTGAAGAGCCAAAGAAGTACCCCCCCAGAGCACCGAGGCAAAACCCCAGACACCCAAAGGCAAAGGCGCACAGAAGGGGCCAACCCAGGAAGTCCGACCCCCCACTAAAGGAGGAGGAGAGAAACGGCCCAGAGGAAAACCTCTAGCCGCCGCAATACCGGAGCCCTCTGGAGCCGCAGGGACAAATCAGCCACCTCGAAGTGATCTGGCCATGGGCCCCAGGGACACAAGGCCCCAGGGGTGCCCCACCCCCCGGCAGGAGCCCCGACCGGCCCCGGGGGGGCCAGGCCCCTAAACTAGATTATTAGTCGCACTGAAACAGGAAATTACTATTTTGGATTGTGAAGTTTGCAGACCCCTGCTTCAGAGAAATTCTATATTTCTCAAAACATTCTTCAGAATCTTTTTAAGAACTTCCAACAAATGAGCAAAATTTATTGCTGTTGTTTTTTAACCTCTCGTCCAAATAATCCCAAATCATCAGGGTTTAAATCCTGAGGCTGTGCTGGCAACTTGTTTTCAAGCTTATCATCATCTTCCTTTCATCTTCCTTTTTTCTGAGATAGTTCTGGCACAGCTTGTACCTATGTTTTTGGCTGTCTTATTGGAGTCTGCCAAACTGGAGAGGGTATATCATGGTGCTGCAGCCTAAGGAGTACTTAGAGAAGCCAATTAACCTAACAGTCATGTTTTTCCGGACTGTGAGAGGAAGCCGGAGTACCCGGAGAGAACCCACGCATGCTCAGGGTCAACATGCAAAATCCATGCAGAAATAACCCCTGTCAGGAAACAAACCCGGGACCTTCTTGCTGCAAGGAAGGAGTGCTACCCACTTTTCCATTGAGCAGTCCATGACAAGCATTTTCAGTAGTAATTAAAACAAAAGAATCCTAAAAGTACCACAATGTGTCATGACCTTGGTACTGATGACTGGCTTAATTACTGATTTCCCTCACCTTTCAAACTTTGCCCAGTTTATCATTGCTGCTCATTTTATGCACCTGCTCCTGCCTCTATTTAAGCTGCCTGCTACCAGTGATTAGGGTGACATTACTCTCTCGAGCCAGAGGGGAGTGTGGGCTAGCATTACATAGTCTGCCTCTCAACCACTGAGCATGCCTTTTCCGAGTGATGGGAGTAACCTTTTTTTTTTGTAACGAGGTAATCTAACTAATTACTTTGACTGTAACTATAACGCAGTTACCATTGCCGACACCCCGTTACTGCACGTTACTTAGGTCGCACAATGAACCTTTTTTTCATGATAGGACTCGTGTGCGCCGTGCATGAGAGAGCGGAGGATGAGATTGGCTGTTACAGGTGTTAACGTACAGCACACACAGAGAGATGGAGAGTGAGGAGGATCCAGCAGCAAAACAGCGTTTTCCAGGTGGAAATACCGTTGTTACACCGAGCTGCGTTTCCCCAACAGACATGGTTTCCCCTGCATCTCTGCACAGCACAGGCTGCACGATTCACCGCGCAAGCGACAGGAAACGCGCATGCTCGCTAAAGGAACGTAACAGCCTGCAATAGTTACTTTTACTAGTAACTAGTTACTTTCATTGTGGAGTAACTCAGTTAGTAACTCAGTTACTTTTTGGGAGAAGTAACAAGTAACTATAAATAATTACTTTTTCAAAGTAACGTGCCCAACACTGTCTGTTCCTGTTCTGATCTATTTGAATGACCTAGCTTCTCATTGCTGGAGCTCGGAGCCTGCCTGTTCCTGTTCTGATCTGTTTGCCTAACCTGGCTTCGGACTCCTGCTTGTTCTCCGTTTTCCGGGGCTGCAGCATCTGGCACACCCTGGGCTGCCCCGCAGCATCTGGTTGGCAGCCCAGTGGCTGGATCCTACAGTAGCTTGTTTTCTGGGCACGGACTGATCCTGTTAAACCAGGTTAGTGACTCACACATGGATAATCATCCTCTGTCAAATTATTGTGGACACCAACCTGTGTTTTGTCACCTGTAGAGGTTCCTACCTTAGACACTCTAGCCGCTGATACTGCAGATCCGATATTAAATAAATGCTTTTTTTAGTAATCCCACTGTCTGCCTTAAATACTGGGTCTTCTGTTGTGAGCTGTGACAGAATAATCTGGCCAAACATGGGCCATCTGTGGTGTTCTGACATTGAACTATGTAATTCTCAGCTCGAGTCCAGCTTACATGAGTTTTAAGATTATCTCTTTTCAGGCTACTGTCACGTCTGCGTCAGCTGCTGTTGGAAGGCTAGTCTGTTACCCCCTGAACTGTTTTGGGGTTATTTTGATTAGGGTCTGGTTTTTTAGATTTATCTGGGTCTTCTGTTCTGAGCCTTGACACAATCTGCCCTAGCACAGCTTTTTTCAGATAGTGGGGATCAAAAGAAATTGAACAAAGTTGAAACACCTTTATTAAGTATTGCCACCAGCCTTAAAATATGGTTGACACTATATTGACATTTTCTACTATTTTTTATAGACCACGTTATTAATACAAATACAATTCAATGTAATTTTAAGAGTGCCCAAATAAAATATAGTTTATCAAAAAACCTTTGCCACTCAGAGGACTCTAACGCTGCTCAGTGACTGAGGGAGAAAATGGTAGTGATGTATATTGTAGAACAACTGAGAGCTGGAACAGTGGTTTTGTTATAGACATCTGCTGAAATTTTCAAGGATTAAGATACCTTCTAGTTGTGTCATAGCTTTGTGCTTTTGCCCACATAAGAATGTTGTCAGCTTATTTAACTTTCCTAAGGATTCCGGAGCTGCTCTCTATTTGGGTGAAGCAGGTCAGAGAGGTAGAGTACAGGAGTCTGATGGGGGACTTTTCCACCTGGTGCCGCACCAACCACCTGGAGCTCAAGATCTCCAAGACGAAGGAGCTGTTGATAGACTTTGGGAGGAATGGACCAAAGACTAAGCCGGTACTATTGGAGGGGGCTGAGGTGGAGGCTGCAGATTCAAACACCTTTGGCTGTAGCTGGATCTTCAAATTGACAGATAACAAAAAAAGTTGCTGTGGTCTGTCAATGACAATGACAATGGCTCTTTAGGGTAAGTTGACACGTATATTTACAGCAAGGGGAGGTAATCACCAGTTGTTTGAAACCAGCAACAAAGACAAAGAAGTGTACAGACTGTGGCTAGGCAAATGGTTAGCAGATCACTTACAATCCACCTCATTCTCAGCAATATGCTGCTGTTTTCGTAACATTCAGTCACATTGTCAAAGGAAACACAACTCAAAGTTTTGGTGGTGGGAAAGTTTACTGTTTTCTCCAACACAAACACATAGTTACAACCACATATCTGAGCATTCATTTTTCATAACTGGAAAATATATTGTCAATAAAACCAGATTACAACTTTAAGGGCCCATGTAGAACTTTTGGTGAAACTGGCATGCCATTTGGAAGT